AGCCAAAAATCAAGATCAAAAAATAAGAATGTATCTGGAAACGCTCTGTGAGCTGCAGAGAGCACCATGACTTAAAGGAATGTCATTTTATATGGGCCCTTCAAATTTTTTTTGATTGCGAGGATTTTGTGCAATTGCTCCTGGGAGGGAAAGCTGTTAGATGATGGTTTTCACTCCCCAGGGTTTGAATTTCACTTCAGGATATCCTGCTGCTTTTCTGCCTCTTTCATCTCAAATCCGTGCAGCTTGGTCACTGAGCCCCAATCAGCTCTAAAAGAAATTATGCTTCCCAGATATGAAAAATGTGTGCATTCAGGCACTTGGCACATCGGAAGTCTTACAGAATTGCTCGATGCCACAGAGGAAAGAATCACACTAAAACCAAAGGGCAGAGGAGCCACGGTATCTTTGCTAGGTGGAAAATTCTGTTTTCCTCCATTTCTCTTTTCAAACATTTGTTTAATCCCAGGGTAAAAGAATGTTAAAGTTATCTAAACACTTCGAAGCTAGAAAAGGCGCTTTAAAAAAAAAAAGCTTTACCTGTGTAGGTTCACCAACATCATTTCTATCAGGTTTTGAAACATACTGAAAACTGATTCCAGACACCCATAATGCTGGGGTCCCCAAGATTGAAAACTGCTGCTTTTAACTCTGGGTCAACATGCTCATCTGAATGATGACTCCACTGGCCGACAAGCTCCATTATTTCCTTCCCAGTCCTCCCCCACCACCATAAAAAAGGTCCCTGAAATCAGAATATTTTACCACACTTTTTAACATTTAGCCAACGGAGCTCTTCAAAAACAAGTATGTACCAGTGAGACACCAGGCCAAATCTGACAGCTCCCTAAGAGTTAGGGCGGTGCTGAGCACTTGACCTTCACTATCTCAGGACGAGCTCAGCAAGGAGGTGTTAATGTGCACACTTTACAGATAAACGAACCTGGGAGTTCGGAGAGGTTAATAATTTGGCTCGAGACAAACCATCGGGAAAGGAGGAAGCCAGAATTCAAACCAAGTCATTCTGGCACCAAAGTCCCTCCTCTGCAGTCCCTAAAAAAATGAAAAGGTTGAAGTATTGGAATGTTGAAAGTGGCGACACAGTATCTCATTATCAAATATACGGATGGCTGAACTTCATGTTCTTTAATGTAATTTTTTAAAGGAAGTCTATTGTGTGTATATTTTCATCTTCCTACTCATTTCCTCAAAAATCCATGTAAAAAGATGGAGAGAATCCTTTATTAAAGCTTGTGTCCAATTTTCCACTCAGAAAGCAAGATAATTTGAGTTCTCTGAAGCCATTTCTCTCCTTAGAGCCTCTCCACTTCTCAGAGAATATTCTTGGAATACGCAGAGTCACAGCAGCCCTGCTGACATCACCCTCTTCCGAGAGCAGCCCTGGCAGCCAGGCCAGGCCAGAGCTGTTTCAGAGAACCTTACGCCCAGCATCAAGAGTCAGGGCTCTTAAACTGATTAAGATCAACTCAAGATTACCTCCGACTGGTAACACACTAGGAAAGTGACGAATACTGCTACAGAAAAAGTCTGGAGGACATTACATCTTCATAACTGCTGAAACAGAACATCTCAATCACAGTGTTCTGCTCATGCAAACATTGTAATATTTAAATCAACCACACCGAGTGAGCCAGACAGAATATAAATTCCCTGAAACCAAGTTCCAACAGCCCTCTTCCAAGGAGGTCAAGTGAGCCTTCCTACTTTGCCCCCATACCCTGAACAAACTAACAAAAAAGACAACATTCCTGCTCTTAAGTGACCCATGAGCCAAGAGAATAAAAGATCAAGAAGGTTACATCTGCCCACCTGAGGAACTGCACACAGAATGAATATTCAGATGGAACACAGGGTTACAGACTTTGCCCTTTCTGAGACAATACCAAGTGTTGAGATATGTCAAATACCAAGTGAGATACAATTTAAAAAAAAAAAGTAGCCACAAAAAGTTGGCCAATGGCCAAGGGAGGGCTGTGTGTGTGCTGTGTGTACATGAAATACATCTGAGAGGTCTCAAAGACAGCTCCCAACTAGAAGACATTTATATTCTTAGGAGCTGCCTTCTAGCAGTGAGGCAAGATATATATCTCCCCAAGTGTCACCCACCGAACTGAGAAAATGTGACACAAATATAAAACTCCCAGAAACAAATCTTTGTCTGAATTGCTCTGGCAGTATGCATCCCACGCTGCTGTGATCTAAGACTTCCCGTTATTTTTCAAATTACAGAATACACTTATTCCTGAAAAAAATCACTTATTTTCCTTCAAAATAAGGCAAACCTTGATACAATGTGACAGGGAAAATCTCTAGTGGCTCATTTATCTTTAAGCAGTATTATTTAAACTTCTGTCACAAGAAACAATAAGGAGTAGTTTTCTTTTTATGAGGGGGAGGGGAAGTTGTGGGTTTTGCTGTATGCTGCAGCATTTGAGAACTCTGCTCCTACCCGCTGAGGAAACCATGAGAACCTACATGTGTTCCTCTAGTATAGTCAGACACATTAATCTCCCCTTGGTCATATACAAACAGTTGACAGAGGAGATGGTGCTAAATCTGTGAAAATGATCTAACCACTACTTCTAAACTAATTGGTCTTAACAGAAATCATAGAGTACAAAGGTATTTCTAATTTCACAGGTATCATAGTGTTATTATTTCTTGTGTATTATTTTAGTTGATTTCCAATGAGTCCTTGGGGAGAGAGAAGAAACTGTAGTGTAGATACATATATATGCACAACAGAGGCACTTTGCTGTATTACCTGAAACTAACAACATTGTAAGTCAACTCTACTTCAATAAAAAACAAACAAACAAAAGAAGTTCACCTAAGCCAAACAGGGAAAAGTAGAGGGAGGTCCCATCCCAATATAGGGGCAGCCCTGGTGAGGGGTCTAAGGCAACAGTTAGTGACACTAATCAATGTCATTTAGAAACAGCGCAAACAAAGGCAAACTTCGCCACTAAGGCAGGGCGCTGTGTGAAGTTGCATATGATGGTATATTCTTGTTCTATGCTAATGTCGGGAAGGCGGAGGCAGTAGTAATGCGGTTAGGAGGATCATAGCGAAAGAGAAACATCTCTCAGCTCTGCTTCTCCACTCCGAATCCAGATGGATTTGATCTTTAATTCACTGGAGAAGTGGGCTGATAACTGTCACCTGAGTACCTACTATGTGCCTGGTACCGCAGTCTTCTCGCACGCAAGGAACGCCGGAAATCACCAGGATCCCTGATGGAGGGAGGTCCCTTCAGTGCTGGGTGACCTTGCTTTGCTCCCGCCACTCCAGACACCCACACTGCTTCAGACTCTGAGCCACAGCAAGGCTCAGAAGATCAAGGGACCAGACACAGCAGCCTTTTTAACTTTGGGAAAACCCAATGCTCACTTCACTCAAACGTCGCAAAGTGGTGCCATGACCCTTTAGCTCTTGGCTCACCAATTCAAAGAGCCACATCACATACAGCCCTTAAGCTGCCCACGGCATGATTCTGTGTCTAGTTTCTTTCCAGGTCCCCCCAAGCGGAAGGCAGCTCTGGCAGGGAGTCTGGGCAAGATTACTACAGTATTTAGCTTTTGTCTCTTCTCTTGCTCTGTCTTATCATGGAATAAGACGAATACATCTCGGAGATTGAGTCCTTCAGCGTATATTGGGCTTGAAACTCATACTCAAAAGGTACCTGCAGTACCTCAGGTGGGCTTAATCTAGCCCAGGTATCTCCATTTCAATGATGAAGAAACTGAGGTTCAAAGAAAGTAAAGCAGAGTCCTGGAAAGCCGTGTACAACTTAACTCCAATGCCATACTTCCTGCCTCAGTAATTTCACTGAGCACTTAACAAGGCAAGAAATGGGCATAACTTAAGGCACCAGATTTCATTTTCTAACTACAGGTATGAATATATATTCACAGTCACACTTTCTCTCTGGGCATTAGTTTCCTCGCCTGTAAAATGGAAAGAGGGTTGTATCGATGATTTCAAATGTGCCTCTCAGGTCTGAAGCTGTCATAAAGCTTGAAGATTTAATTACGCTTTGGTGTATGCAATACAAATGCATATATACGAACACAGACATCTATACATGATATGCTACAAATTAAATACCAGTTGCAACCATACGTTTTGCCTCATCCCCCAGCAACCATATTCTTCCAATTCCAAATCAGGGCTAGATACGTCCCACCTGGGCAGCCCCTCAGACTCCCTCTGGCTTCTCTCCAAATACCAAGTGCAGACAGTAAGAAGAAAGTGGAGGAGCCACGTAATTTACATGAAATATTAGGTGTCATTACGTTCCCTGGAGGAAACACGGCAAGTCTGCGGCAGAGGCAGGCTGTGGGGCACAGAACACACCGCAGGAAGCACAAGTTAAAGGTGACCGGCTCTGGCTGCGAGAACCTGGGGCCCCGCTGGCAACGCACCTCGTGGGCAGCGCCCGTGCTGGGAGCCAGCCTGGCTCCGAGCCCGCGTTTGAGGGCAGAACCCCGCCCTCACTGGTTTGCACATCGCACATCCTGCCGGGGCAACTCGGAAAACGTGCGGCGATGGGCGTGCAGCGGGAACTTGGCTCGTCTTTCCTAACGCACGTGGCATAGCCAGGCCTGGGGTTCAAAGGCGCCGCCTGCCCCATCACCC